GCTGAGGATCCCAATACCAGCATAAAGAAAGGCAGCTCTTGGGGCAGCTACGTGATGCAGCAGATAGAGCTCTGGCCTTGGAGTCAGGAGGACCTGAGTTCAAATCCAACCTCAGACACTTGACACTAGCTGTGTGACCCTGGGCTACAGCTAGTAACTTAATCCCAGTCACTTAACCCCACCTGCTTCACTAAAAAAAAAAAAAGTCGTCCTTGTCCTCGAGGAGCTTACACTCTAACACAAAAAAGGGGAGGGAGGGGAAGGTACCTGAAGGGAGAGAAGGGTATAGCGATGAAGTCCAGGGGATGAAGCGTGACTGCTGTGGGCCATTTCTCAAAATCTGTGCATGAAAGAAATGTTGCAGGGATGCTACGATTAGTGCTTATCCCTGTTTCCTTTAACCCTCCAAACAATCCAGGGCGCCTTTCAAGGACAACACCATCTCTACCAGCCCAGGACACAGCCTGCTTCACTTTGGCAGACAGGTGGTTTGCAGGAGCCGCTGGTGGTCGTCCTCGTGGTGACGGGCCTCGGGCCTCCACCAATGGAGTGATTTCACAAATCTCACACACACAGAGTTATACCTCCAGCCTTTCCAGAAGGGTCTCTTGAACTTGTGCCTCTCATGAGGCCTCTGAGATCCCAGGGTTATTTTCATAAAAAGAAAGGCATCAAAAGAGAGCTGCAGTTACAGCCGTCCCCTGATACGTTTAAAGCAAGATTCCCTTTATGAAAATACACATCCATTCATCTTTTCATCCACACGTCCATGTCATCCCACCGCCTTAAGAGCAGAACAGAACCAGGGTGTGCGAATAAATGTTTAATACTGAAAATGTATACACACAAGCCAAGATTCGAACCCCATTTTCCAGGCTCCATTTATATAATAGTTAAGGCTTATGAAATGCTTTCTCACCTACAACCGCGGAATGTAAGGGAGACAAGGATTACTTTGCAGATTAGAAAGATGAGAGTTAAAGTGACTTCTCTTGCCTCCCACACCTTGTAGGTATCCCGGTATTCTGATGCTGATGGCTGGGCAGGGCATCCTCTATGAGAGCACTGACTGGCCTTCTACACAGGAAGGCCACCTCAATTAAAGCACCAGATCATAGACTCTTAGATTTAGAGCCAGATGAGACTCACAGATGGGGAAACTCAGGTTCAAGATGTTATGTAACTTCCTCGAGGTCACAAAGGTAATAAATGACAGAACTGGGATTGGAGGCAGGTTCTCAGACTTCACATGTGATGCTCTTTCCACCATGCCATGAAAAGAGTGAGCTATTCATTTCAAATACAATCTCAAAGAAAAAGCATCCAAGAAATGACTCAAGCCTAGAACATCAAAATTCCATGTTCTCCAAGCATCCTTGGGATCTTAAGTTAGCATCTTTCTCAGGAATTTGGTCAGAGGCCATTCATTGCACCCCAAGAAATGGGAGGGCTGGATGTAAATTAATGTGGCCGTGCCATTTTCTAAGCCAGCTTCTGATGGATTGTATGACCATGAATCGATCTTCTTTTTTTTTTTTCAGCCAAAGACAATGTTTATTAGAACATCCGTCCTACTGGGCAGACTCTTAAGGAGTCTGAACGTTAGTGAGCTATTGACTAGATTGTAAAAAATCTGTGCAGTGGCTAGATTATAAGAATCTGAGCAGTGGCTAGATTATGAGAATCTGAGCCCATGAATAGATCTTTATGGGCCGGCTTCAACAGAAAAATCTTCAACATTAACTAACCAGGTTCCATCCTGAATTTCCTTCTCTTTTCTCTCTGTACTCTCTAAGTGATTTCATCAGTTCTCATGGATTCAGTTATTATCTCTATGCAGAGGAGTCCCAAATCTGTTTATCCAGCTGCAGTCTCAGTCCCGTACTCCAAGCCAGTATCACTAAACGCCTATTAGATATTTCAAACAGGATGTTCCATAGGCATCCCAAATTCAGTTTGCCCAAGTGGAACTAATTATCTTTACTGTGAAAATGACTTCTCTTTTGAAGCTCCCCATTACTGTTGAAAGAACCAGGCACCTGGATTCTTAACCTTGGCACCATCCATTATTCATCACTCTCACTCACCCTCCACGTTCAGTCAGCGACCCAGTCTTCTCATTTCTATCTCATCTCTCTTGCATATGTCCCCTTTTCTCCATTCACAGTCACCACCCTAATGACAGTCCTCCTCACCACCTCATGCCTGGATTGTTGTTGCACTAGTCTTGTGATTGGCTATCTTGCGTCAAAAGTCCCTCCTCACTCCAGACCATCCTTCTCACGGCTGTCAAAATGTGATTTTACTAAAATCTAGGTCTCTCCATGTCACCACACGACTCAATAAACTCCAGTTGCTCCCTATTACCTCTAGGGTCAAATGTAAACTCTTTCATTTGACATCTAAAAGTCTTCACAACCTGACCCCTTATTTGCATTCCGTCCTTCCACTATCTAGATAGCATTCAGCCATACTGTCCTACCTACCACATACTGCCTCAAGGCCACAGATTCCCCCACACCCCCTCCCACGGTCTTTCTCACTTGATTTAAGATCCAATACTTCAAGGAACTGTGGCAGCTAGGTGGCATATAATGGAAAAAGCACCAATCTTTGGGTCCAGAAGCCCCGAATGCAAATTCCAACTCAGAAGGTTATTAGCTATGTGGCCATGGGCAAGTCATGCTATGTTCTTCAGTTTTCTTACCTACAAAATGGAGATGATAATAAATGTCAGGGCAGCAGGTGGCACAGTGGATAGTGCCAGGCCTGCAGTCAGAAAGACTCCTCTTCCCGAGTTTAAATCTGGCCTCAGACACTCACTCGTTGTGTGACCCCAGGCAAGTCACTTAACTCTGTTTACCTTAGTTTCCTCATCTGTAAGAAGAGCTGGAGAAGGAAATGGAAAACTACTTCAGTGTCTTTGCCAAGAAAATCCCTGATGGGGGTGATAAAGAGTCAGATGTGACTAAACAACTAAATAGCGACTAGAAACATAATGGAAACTTTTGGGAGACAACAGCTGCCGCTTTGGGCTGGCAAGAGGGCAAGGAGGGAGTTATGAAAATAACCCTGGGATCTCAGAGGGAAGGAGGAAATGAATGTCATGCACAAGGATGTACATGCTCTCCTGTGGTTTAGTTATAAAGTTTATTTGGACTTGTTTGAATAAACATAGGACTGAAAGGGGGCAGGACTTTATAAAGGTCCCCAGTTGAACCAGGAGTCTCTTTCCAAAGGGCAGAAACAGAGTGAGCCCATACAACTTCTTCCCATTCAGCGTGGAGGAAAGTTGGACTCTATGTTCTATTTTCTCTCATTTCCTTGACACAGATGAACCAAAGGCCAGGGCAGAGCTGTCCCTGGCAATATTTGTACCTGGATCAAGGATGCCCTCCTGTCAGCTTTTTAATCCAGTGTTCTATAGATGGAGGCTGTAAATGTTGGAGATAAGACACAGACCATCTGGTCATTTCCCATTTCAATTAATTCTTCTTGCTAGCTAGGTACTAAGTTATTTCTATGTCTGTGGTGCTAAAAAAATAAAAATAAAAATAAAAACTGTTAAGTGCTTTCAATGTCCCTGTGAAAAAGTTTCCATCACCCTCTCTATAGCACTGGATGTGTGGATTTCTTCTAAGTGAAAGATATTCAAAAGCAATTCATATGATGCAAGCAAATTATTTCTTTAGTATTTTAACTCATTCTGCAACTAAAAAGAAGGCCAGTATTTTCAAAGGCTTTATTTCATGGTAAAATAATGTAATCTTTAATCTTACTAATGGGAGTTGGCAAACAATCTAATTGGACCAAAGAATCAATGGCCATGGCTTTGTCTGAGTGAGTGAAGCAGGATGATGGCTTTGCCCGTGTTAATCCCTACTTTGATATTAGATTATTAGACTGTGAGCTCCTTAAGGGCAGGGACTATCTTTTGCCTTTTTTTCTTTTCTTTTCTTTTTTTTTAATTAGCTTTTCGGTGAGGCAATCAGGGTTAAGCGACTTGCCCAGGGTCACACAACTAGTAAGTATCAAGTGTCAGAGGCTGGATTTGAACTCAGGTCCTCCTGACTCCAAGGCCGGAGCTCTATCCACTGGACCACCTAGCTGCCCCAATCTTTTGCCTTTCTTTGTATCCTCAGTGCTCAGCGAAGTGTCGGGTGCACAGTATTACTCTGTATTGACAGACTGGCAAGGGACACACAAATATACTGAAGAAAAAGACTTTTTAGCAGGCCAGAAAAGGATTCCTGCGGGCAATGAATATATTCCAAAATAGAAGGATCATTGGTTTCAAGCCAGCAGGGAACTTAGAGGTTATCAAGTCCCACCTGATCATTTTACAGATGAGGAAACTGAGGCTCAAAGCTAGTGAGTGATTTGCCCAAGGTCACACCACTAGAAAGAATTTGAAGTAGAATCTGAATCAGGTCTCCAAGGATAGCACACTCTCTCCACCTCCCTGTGCTACTGCTCAACTCAGGGCCCCCAAATGTCAAAATGTTGATGAAATGCAAAGGGCAGGAGGAAGCCCAAGGCCTCCTGAAGGACAAAAGTGAATGGTGTATATTTGGTATATTTACTCACCAGGTCCCTACCTCCTGTGAGTCCTCCCAAGCACCAGCCTCCTGGGTAATTTGTGACATCTCTAATTCCGTGCCCCAGGGAAGAAGACAGGAATGTTAGCCAGGGCTGCAAGGGACTCAGGGTTGACTCGGGTCCTTCCCCTGCAATAGCCATCACACATCCTGCTGCCAGGCCAGCAGAAAATGCTGTGCTCAAGAGAAATGAGCCCCGGCAGCCGTGACTTGCCCCTGGACATTCTCCTGTCCCAACAATGCTGTCTTGAAGGCTGGGAGCAGGATGGGAATATAATGAGCCTACAAAATGCATCCCGGAGGGATGTCGGTCAATGCAGGCAGAACTGCCCAAAGAATTTGTTATCTTCTCCCTGGCAAGTTTTTTTTTTCTTTTTCACCTCCATAAATTTGATTCCTTACCAAGCAGTCACTTCACCAAGGAGATCAGTTGCATACTTCTGTTTATAAGGCACCAGCAAGGACAAGGCCCTCACATTGCTAGAATCACTGGATAAAGTTGGAGGGCTCATCTGTAGGTCTGCTTTGCTATCGCTCACATCCTCCTATGCACAGACACAATGGCAAAAAGAGAAGCCCAAAAAGCCCACTTGTGACAAATACTACACACATTGAGTTAGTGTCACAGATTCACTTACAGCCTGGGTTAAATTATGTCCTTGGGATTCAGGACAACAACCCCCAACCCCCTTTTTACAGATGAGAAAACTGAAGCCCAATAAGTTAAGTAGCTTCCACCAAGGTAGTGCAGTAAGTAGTTGGGCCAGTTTCACTGGAATTGTGTGCCAAGGGGAGTAGTTAATTATCCTCTCCAAACCCATTCCTGGACAGCCTCATGTGCTAGCTGCCCCAGGGTGTGAGACAATAGCCCTCTTCTTGTTGGCTCCTCCCTGCTCCCAACTCAGGAATAAGGAAGATCCAAGTGAGGTGAAAGGGTTTGAGTGAAGGGAGGCTAAGAGCTGAAAGGAGAAAAGCTAGAAGGGAAACTCAAAGCCTGAGACTGGAGCTGACCAGACAATTACACATTTCACCAACTACTCTATTTGTTCCTTTTCTACAAGTGATGGGTGCTTGGGTGCTTGTACTTGGACCCCAATTTCCCCCTAGCCTCAGAAACACTAACCTTGACAGTTTCTCCCCAGCCCAAGGACCCTGTGCTTAGCAATTACTCATGAGTGGGCCCCAGGAAGACCCTTCTCTCTCTCCCTGGTGCAGTTCCAAACAGCACCTGAAGGATTTATTAGTTTGAACTGGCTTTGCATTGGGTCATAAAGACATTTTTACCCACTGGACTATCTCCTACCACCCTACCTCATTATCAACATCCTGGGCTCCTCATTAACTATATTCTAGACTTAAGACATAGGTATACTCCCTATATCTATCTGGTCAAGCAAGACATTGATTGGTGGCAGACTGGACAACTCTGTTACCCTGAACTCTAGTTGACTTAGTGACGTAGCAGGCCTAAAGCCACACCTCCATGTGGCCCCCTTTGTGGGCTTTTCCCAGTGAATTCTGGGTAAAACGCCAGCGCAGTAGGTACAAGAAGTGCATGTTCCTTTAAGAACTGACCACTCCTTAACCACTCCCTAATCCCACCCTGAATCCCCTAGTTAGCATATTTGGCACATGTTTTATTGTATTTTATCCTATACAAACTTTAACTGTACCTCTCTAAGGTTGCAGGATTCTTTAAGAATCCTTGCCCACTGAAAAGCATAACAATAAACTTTGCCACCTTGACTTAAAGAATGCTTGAGTCAGTGAATTCATTCCAGACGACCCATGGGGTACTTCAGACTTTGAGGGGTCACAACCTCTCAACCTCTCAGCCCAAAACACAAGTACTTGTCTCAAGTGCAGACCGAACTCAGAAGTAAGTGATCCCACTTGGTTCCAGAGTGGACATAAGAGCCATCTCCAAATATCCAAAGGGCTTCCACATGAAAGATTGTGTAGACCGATCCTGGGTAACAGTAACTACAACAGAATTACAGAAACCTCTAGAGCAGGGATGGGGAGCCTGTGGCCTTGGGGCCACATGTGGCCTTCTAGGTCCTCAAGTGTGGCCTCGAAGCTGCTCTAGGCCACCTCTAGGCCCACCTCTGCTCTAGGATTTGAAAAATACTTTCTTACTTGTAAGGTAGGTGGTACAGACAATATTTCCATTTTACAGCTGAGAAAAGTGACTCTAAGAGAACATGTGATTTGCCCATGATCACATAGCTAGGTCAGTGACTTAAGCTGGATTTGAATCCAGTTCTCCTGACCCCCAAGTCCAGCATTCTCCCCACTATTCTCATGGGGGAAAAAACTAGGGAGGTTGAATTTGGCACAATAAAACTTAAAAAAAAAATTAGAGCTGTTTAACATCATGCAAAATAGCTAGTTGGATGTCCAGGAATGCATTGAATAAAGAATATTCTCATTTCTAGTGATCACATACCTCGTTAACTTAAAACTATGCTAAGACGTTTGAGACAGGCTGTGTAGCAGGGTTTCTTCCTTCTTTGCATTTACATAGTACTTGTCAGTTGAATACTAGGTATGCTGATAAAAGCCCATTTTAGTACAGTTCAAGGTATTATTTTATCACAAGAATCCCCATGCCAGTTAGGGTGCTTTCAAAGATTCTGGGAGAAAAGAGACATGCAGAATGCCTTTTAGGCAGATGGTAATTCAGATAGCGGACAAATATTTCTCATAGATTTTGCTTGTGTAAAGTATGCTGTTTGTTTCAGACCCCTTCCAAAAGCAGTGTCTAATGAAGAAAGGTGAGAAAAGTGTGTTTGAGTAAAGGAAGAGATTGCTATTAATTATCAGTGGATGGGGGACATTGGGATTGTTATGGATGAGAATTTACAAGCCTAATAGGAGTAGGAAAAGAACTTTGTTTTAAAATAAATACTAGGGGCAGCTAGGTGGCGCAGTGGATAGAGCACCGGCCCTGGAGTCAGGAGGACCTGAGTTCAAATCCAGTCTCAGACACTTGATACTTACTAGCTGTGTGATCCTAGGCAAGTCACTTAAGCCCAACTGCCTCACTAAAAAATAAAATAAAATAAACTGCTAAAATATGTGTAAGAAGAAACATAGCCTTGAGATGGAATTTGAATGGTTATATTACCATCATGATTACCCAGAACCACATTGGTTTTCTCCCGTTGAATATTTGGAGAGGGCTATTATGTCTACTGTATAATCAAACCGGGTCACTCCATGCAGTGCTCAGTCCAAACTTGAGACAAATAAATTTTAAGTGGTTGTGAGAAAGCAATCAAAAAGTAGCAGTTGATGAATTTTGTAATGGCTGTGTGTATGTGTGTATGCATTATTTGTATATACATATATATGTGTATACATAGCCAGCTTCCCTCCTAGGCTCCAAAGTTCTGTGTGGGACAGAGACTCAAAATAAAAACAAAGACTTAGATACCTTGAAAGCAGAAAGGAATTTATTGCTTTCTCATGAGAAAGGGCACCGCCCCTAATCGCCATTGCCCTCCAGAAGAGTACAATTCCTTACAGAAAAGAAGGCTTATTTATACCCTAATTTGAGCTCCTCCTCCCTAACCCCCTTCCCCTTATCCCACTGGCTGGGCTTCAGAGGGCACAGTCTACTCACCGCACCAGCAACAGAGACACAAGTTTGCCAAGAGGCAGGAAGTTTTGCAAGGGCAAGCAGTTCAGGTTGGGGGTAGGGCTATTCTTTCTTCTAAGTGCTTAAAAAAACAGGGTCTGAGTGGGGGAGGGTTTTGAAAACAATCCAAGAACTATTAGCAAGAACTACTGACCCTTTGAGGAAGCTTCACTTCTGAGAGATCATCTCTCACAGCTCCCTTCCAGCTTTTCCCCTTTGGGCTACTAGTCTCTCCCCACCCCCATCTTTTCCACCCAACTTGGAATTTCCTTTTGTCCCCAGATTTATCCTTGAGATCAAAGAGAAGCTTGACAAAGTAGCTTTGTTGATATTATTGCTCCATGAAATGGAGAGGCTAGTATGCTGGATGTAGAGGCAGGTGCCATTGGGTCCTGGGTCTGGGAATAAGCTGCCTTATGCCCCCTCTCTCTCTCTCTCCTCTCCTCTCCTCTCCTCTCCTCTCCTCTCCTCCCCTCCCCTCTCTTCCCCTCCCCTCTCCCCTCCCTTCTCTTGCTCTCTCTTTCTCTCTCTCTCTCTCTCTCTCTCTTCTCTCTCTCTCTCTCTCTCTCTCTCTCTCTCACACACACACACACACACACACACACACACACACAGAGAGTCCATTCCAGTCAAACTGGCCTGACAGCTGTTCCCCACACCTGAAATTCCACCCCTCCCTCCTGTCTTGCACCTCTCCAATTCCTCATTGTCCTTCAAGCAGGGCTTGGGATTGAGACATCTCTTAGTCCCCTGTATTAGTCTGCCTCTTGAAATGTCTTCGTATAACTCTATATGTAACTGTATTAGCTTCTCTAATGTGGGATCCCCCACACTGGAATCTAAGTCTCTGGGGCAGGGACTGTTTTGAGTCTTTGCATCCCCAGTGCCTAGAATCATTCCTTGCACGTAATGAATGCTTAATAAAATTTTGTTGCATTGTTGAATTAGTGTCAGGGTACATCACTTGGTTTCTTAGAAAAAGCCTAGCCAGGGATCTAGATGATCAGAAAATGTTCATTTCTCTGGGTGTCTGCTGCAGTTTAGAGCAGGGGTTCTTAATTTGAGGTCTGTGATTTTGTTTGTTAAAAATATTGTGATAATCTGTATTTTGATGTAATTGATTTCCTTTGTTTTTCCGTGTCTTTGGTTTTTATCTATTCTGAGAAGGATCCCAGAGGCTTCACCAGACTGCCAAAGGATTGACAAAGAAAAGGATAAGAATCCCTGTCCCAGAGGGAGCCCCCGGATGGGGGAAGGGACAGGCTTCTGGAGGTCCCCACCTGCCTTTGGCTCAGATGCGGAGCCCTGAGGCCGCCGCCTGCAGGAAGTTTCCCCCGCCCCCAGTTATTAGCGCCTTCCATCCCTCCACCCCAGAAATAATTCCTACTTTCTACATATTTTGTATCTTCTTACCGCCTTTTACCGGGGTTTCTTTCCGATTGAACACGAACCTCTGGAGAGCATTGTTAGTTCGATGCGGAGTTCAGCAAGTTCAGGGGCGTCTAGAGCGGCCGTTAAGGGGGTTCCCGGGGTGAGGCCCGTGACTGGCCTCGAGGTGGGGGGGGGGACATTGGAGGGGCGCAACGCTTGGACTGCTGGCTCTGGATTCCAAATCCGGCTCCGCTACCTACTAGCTGTGTGACCTTGGGCTTTCATTTACCTTCTCCGGATTAGCAAATCCATTTCACTTGCATGTCATAGCATCACCTCCCTGACGTCACGGTCCTCTCTGAGAACCAGGGGCAAACAGCAAGCAAGGTGATCAGAAGTCTCTCCCAGCTCCGAGGAAAGTCAGGGGTGGGTAGACGATGTAAGCTAATCAGATCCAGAGAAAAGAGGACCCCCTATGTCAGGGTCCACTCAAGTTCCACCTCTGCCTCGCACTGCCCCCCTTCTTCCAGATGTTTGTGCCTCCACTCAATTACTGCGAATTATGTGTACTTATCCTTTTTTTCCCCCTTTTAATCTCTGGGGGTGTGGTGTATTCTCCTAGTAGAATGTAAGCTTCTTGAGGTCAGGGACTGACAATTGAACTTTTATCCCTTGTGCTTGGCATGCTCTTGTTTGCTTGTTGATAAAATGGATAAAGTTGTTCCTTGGCGTGAAGGTGGCCCAGGGTTCCGGAGGTTATGTCAGCAAATTCCAAGCTTTCTGTAGGCCCCTTGTAATTCAGGCATTTCAGTCATATCTGACTCTTCCTGACAGCGTTTGGGGTTTTCTTGGCAAAGATACTGGAGTGGTTTGCCATTTCCTTCTCCAGCTCATTATACAGATGAGGAAACTGAGGCAAACAGGTTAAGTGACTTGCCTACGGTCCCACAGCTAGTAAGTATCTAAAGCTGGATTTGAACTTGGATCCCCTAGACTCTAGGCCCAGAACCCTATCCACTGCACCACCTCCTCCCTAAAAAGAGACAAACCTGGGACCTGATAAGCCCCAAGTTCCTTCACACAGCTTCTGGTGACCTGAAGGATTTATGAAGACCTGGTGAGTTACCAGGTTCTTCACCTTCATCCTGATGACAAAATATATTTTCCATATGGAAATGGGGAGGGAGCAGGGAACCCTGAGAGAAGCCAGGTGCTTGTTGAATATCCTTACTGTGTTGGGGCAAAGTAAACCTACTTTTGTTAACTGTTGAATGATTTACCAGTGCCTTATTTCACCCCAACATTGAGCCTGAACTGGGAATGTTGGCAGAGCCTCCTCAAATAGCTGTTTGTCCTTCTTTCGAAGAGTACCAAGTATATCACAGGATGGTATCTTGACTTGCTCATGAACTGGATTTAAGTGAGGCAGAGTTGCACAGAGCCCTTAGCCACACTCTCTTGCAGACTCATCAAAATCCAGTGGCAAGTCAAAAGTCAGCATGATTAGCGATGGCCCAGGATACGATGGATGACCTTGGCATGGTACATGCCAGACCAAGCTCTAAGCACTCCTCAATGCCTGCTGCAGCCACCTCCATGGTGTTGGAACTAATTGTTCTCACTCCTCAGAAGGAAGTCTTCACATGCGTGGGGTAGACACCTCCTAACTCACTGCTGGGTTTGAGGCAGGTCGGTTACCCTCAACCTAATTTAGCCTCTCTGAGGAGATGGTTTTACTGGGATGTGGCCACTGTGTGAGCTGCAGCTTATTGGAGCCAGAAGTGAGAGTTGGGTGGCAAGTGGACGCCAAAAGTGGATGAACAGCCCTGAGAGGGGCTTGGCAGGCATCACACCAGAGGTGCTAGGCCTCCCTGACACTGCCTCAAATAGTACAAGAAGAGGAGTTATATACAATGAGGCTTAAAAAGATAGGATGGGGCCAGCTTGTGAAGGACTTTAAAAGCCAAACAGTGGTGATTATTTTTTCCCCTAGAAGTAATAGGGAGCTACTGGAGTTTAATGAGCAAATGAGTGACATGGTCAGACCAACACTTAAGAAAAATCACTTTGGCCGCAATGCGGGACATGGATTGGAAGAGAGAATAACCTGGGGCAATAAAATTAATTAGGACGCTATTGCAATAGTCCAGGCAAGAGTATATGAGGGTGGGGACAGAGAGATGGATAGACCTTGCGACTTGGAGTCAGGAGGGCCTGAGTTCAAATTCTGCCTCACACACTTGAGACTTACTAGCTAGGTGACCCTGGGCAAGTCACTTAACTCCTATTGCCTCACCAAAGGAAAAAAAAAAGAGTGTATGAGGGTCTGACCTGTGAGATGCCCTGTGAATAAAGAGAAGGGATCAGAGGTGAGAAATGTGGTAGTGGTTGAAATGGCAAGATTTGACAGCTGATTACTATGTGGGGCAAGAGAGAGTGAGGCTCTAAAGGATGAGGCGTGTTTGGAAATTGGAAGACTAGAAGAATGCAATTTCTTCTGCAAGAAGAAATAGAGGGATTTAGAAGGGGGTTGAACAGTGAGTTGTTTTGGACATTTTCAAGTTGAGATGTCCCTGGAAAGTCCCATTCGTAGAGTGCAATAGGCAGCTGGAGATGCCACCCTCACCACCACTTCTAGCACCTTATGCTCATCAGGACAAGATGGCGCCCTCCTTCTGACCTCATGGTGGAGGGTCAATACCCAGACCGCAGTTCTGCAGGTCTTACCCTCGTGAGCCAACTTGGACAACTGATTTATTTGGTGAGATTCAGGAAAGGTGGTGTATCCATTTTATGACCCAGACTCTACCGGTAGTGTCTCACTAAATAAGTTTAAACTCAGTATCAGCTTTGATTTTAGTCGTCTTCATACTTTTTAACAGTGGCTATTTTCCTGACACTGAACTCTATTTTCCTACTTACCCAAAAATTGTTTGTAGGAAACAGAAAAGTCTGGTTCTCTCTGAAGTGTTTCTCAAAATAGAGAGAATTTCTCTCTTCACTAGTTAGAGAAACCAGACTGGTTCAAATGTTGTTATGTCTCTTCTTAATAATGATAAGAGATGAGCTTTGCTCATATTCCCCACTTTGGGGGCTGTGTTTACCCCACCAGAGTTCTGTTTATTTCCTAGACACAGTGAGACAATGCAAAGATCACTGCGAAAGGTAGTGAGGAGACCTTGGTTTGAAATCCTAACTTTTCCACTAACAATGTATGACTCTAGCAAGTCAATCCAACTCTGTGTCCCACTGGCCTCATCTTTCAGGTGAAGTGGCTAGATTAGACTTCCAAGGTGCCTTCCAACTTTGATTTGGATGTTTCAACATGGCAGAAATACTCCCAAAGAGTCCTCAGATTCCATTTGTTCCTATAGTGTGTATCTGCATGGTGCCACATGTACCAGAGGAAGCCATCTGAGTCCCATTAGGCATTTAATGTTGCTGTCAAAACAAAAGATTTGGGAAATTGAGCTTGGGTCATGCCCCAGATCTCAAAAAAGGGGCCAAGTCTAAAAAATGTTTAACTTACACTATCAAGTTGCTACTGTCAAACATTTTTTAAAGTTAATATGTCCACATGCATTACTCTTGAACAACTTAATAATTTTCTTTATTTTTTCTTTTTTCTTAAATGAAGTTTTTAACATAAAATTTTAATAAGCCATGGCTTGTACGTGGCAAAGCTGCCTTGTCCTGAGACCTTCTTGAGCAGTGTGTCAGGGATGAGGAAACTTCCAGAGATAATGGCTCTTCATCCAAGATGGTGGAGTATTCCAAAGGGCTCATCACAGCTCTAAGTAGTTGCTTTCCCCTAGGAAAGAGAAGAGGCTCACAAATTACTCTGCTAACTCATTCTCCTGATTTTCATCCCTTCACCCTCAACACATGACCAGGTGCATGATCACCAGATTTGCCTTCTCCTCCTCTTCTGAAACTTATTTCTGCTAAAACCAATGTGCTCTTTTTTGTCCATTTATACACCACGTGCCTATGGATGGTTGCATTTGAATCTATTCCTTTTCCTTTTCTTGGCCCTCAGATGGCTGAGCTTCAAAAAATTAAGTGATTAATAAATGAATGGCCATTCTAATCTAGCCCTCGTTGTTATTGTAGGGCCAGTGATTTCATCAGAAAGAGTGGGAAAGTCCCTATGTGGAAACTCCCTCCATCAGTAGAGGCCAGGCATTTCCTCTGTAACTTTATAAGTTAAAGCGGTTGCCTGGGATCAGTCACTTACTCCTGCTCATGTGTATGTGTCTAAGGCAGGACTCGAATCCAGGATCCCATGGCAGGTCCTTTCTCCGCTGTACTATGCTGCCTCTTATTAATCATTAAAATGGCAGAATGACTGTTTTGCTTGACCATCGTGGCAGGTTTTTTTTTAACAAAATAAAATTGACTACAAGCAGTGTCTTGATGGTACCATATAAATAGAATCATACTTTAGCCCAGAGCCCTCAGATTTTGGAAAATACTGTCATCTCATGTACTTCTCATGCTTGTGGATGAGAAAAACTTTCCTATTGATACCAATTTAACCCAGGTCTCATGTAAGGAAGGAAAAATGAATAAACATTTCTTATTCTCTACCTTGCATCTAGGGCTCATGCAAAGTGAATGAGGAAGCATTTCACAACTGTGTAAAGCATTCTATACTCTGAACAAAGCCATCTCCTGACAAAGGCAGTAATTGTTTAGAGAACACAAAAATTACTTATTCTTTGAAAACAAGAAGTCATTGTGGAGGTTTTTATCACTCATAGTATATCACAATATGTCTGACCCATAAGACTTTTTGATCATTCAATGTTTAGTTTGTTATAATTTTTGTTACTTCTTAATAATAGATATTCACTGACTCGATTTTGCCAATAAATGGATAAAATGAATGATCAAGCTATTTGCATTCAATAGTTTTTGCTTTATGGACATAGTCTCTGTTACACTCAAAGACTCATAGGAAAATAGGACTATAGGGTCATAGATTTAGATCCAGAAGGGACCTCAGAGGTCAAGTCCAAACCCCTCTTTTTCCAGAAGAGGAAACTGAGTCCTGGAGACCTTACATGACTTACCTAAGTTCACATAGTTCACAAGAGTCTGAAGCAAGATTGGAACTCAAGTCTTCCTGATACCACAATCCAAAGTTCTATCTATTACACCATGATCTCACTGAGTTTCCTATGAGTTAATTCCTTCACAATGATATTCAATTCTCTCACATTAAATGCAGTTCGTTTTGAATTGATATGCTCTGTGAGGGAAGAACTATAAAAAACCCTTGTAGATGACCATCAATTCAATTATCTCTAGATCTGTGGAGGAACCTGATGAAATAATATGCTTAGGGTCTAACAATGATGTGCTGTGTTCTTGGAAACTGTCTGGACATTCACCTATTCTTTCTTTATATTTCCACAGGGAATTGAATGGCAGATGAGACAATTTGGTCCACCTGGTTCACACAGGTGATTTTAATGAGGTACAGAGAACAAAAGCAGTGCTTCTAGAACCCAGCCAATGACCTCTGGCCATGGCCATGACCATGCCAGTAGGGTGGACTGCCCCTGTTGGTTTGCAGATGGAGGTAAACTCTGTGTGAGTCTCTTGATCAAACAGCCCCCTCCTCCTGAGGTAACTCGGAACGTTGTGATGTACTATGGAAATAACAAACAATTAACCTACCCCACAGATTTCAGGGCATCAGCACTTTTCCCAGGTAATTGCAAAGAAACTTTTGACCACATGAATGCTGCAGAGTAACATCTGAATGCTGCTTATGATGAGCTGGGTGGAGAAGAGACTTAGGTTCCAGGGCACAATATTGATAGGTTCTAAGCAGCTACTCCACAAGTCTCTGTCTTTGAGATAGTTCCTGGGGAACAGAGGAGATACTCATTCAGCAAACACGTAGTAAGTGTTTATCACAGGCAATGTTCTTCTGATTTAATTCTATGCAGATCTTAATTTTGCCAATTGTTTCTTGATCAATGTGTATAGGGGTGTTGTGAAGATCAAATGGGATGATGATATAAAGCACTTTGCAAGCTTTAAAGCACTATGTGAGTTTCTATTATTATCATTATCATCATCATCATCATCATCATCATCATCATCATTATTATTATTATTATTATTATTATTATTATTATTATTAGCTGACTTCGTTCCGTAAGCCAACGGTGGTGAACCTTCAGCCTTGAGGCCACCTTCTAGGTCCTTGGGTTTGGCCTTTTGACTAAATCCAAGTTTTACAAAATGAATCCCCTTAAGAAAAGGATTTGTTCTATAAAACTTGGACTCAGTCAAAGGGCTGCACTTGAGGACCTAGAGGGCCACATGTGGCCTAGAGGCCGCAGGTTCCATCCCCCTGCAATCCTTCTACTGTGTTCCTGCTGAGTTCAAGCAATGTTTATAGAGTAAAATAGAGTCTGTTGTTAAATGTTTAACAACTGGGCTTTTTTTGAGGGGGGTAATGTATTGCCGCATGCTTTCTAATTTAATCTGAGTCATTAACGCTTAAGTATAGGCAAGGAACAAAGTAGTAGTTCAAGCCATGATTTGTAGTGATTGCCAGTTTCTGAGGTGTGAATATATGTTGCTGTTGTTCAGTTGTTTTCAGTCATGTCCAACTCTTTGTGACCCCATTCAGGGTTTTCTTGGCAAAGATACTGGAGTGGCTTGCTATTTCCTTCTCCAGTTCATTTTATAGATGCAAAACTGAGGCAAACAGGGTTAAGTGACTTGCCCAGGGTCACACAGCTAGTAAGTGTCAAGTGTTTGGTCTGAGGCCGGATTTGAACTCAGGTCCTCCTGACTTCAGGGCCAGTGCTCTATCCACTTTGCCACCTAGCTGCCCCACCCCATTTTGTTTTGTTTTTAACCAATAGGCTGTTACCAGCATGAAGTAATGGATCCTTTACTTGGATTCTCAAAGACCTAAAATCAAATCCAGCCTTTGATGCCTGGTAGCCAGGTAACGATGCATGAGTCACAGCATCCTTGACAAATTGACTGTTGCCAGGAATGATTTACCAAAGCGCTCAGTTAATACAAGCAGTCTCCTGAGATGGATGCTTGTCATCAGGCAGACAGATAACTGCTTTGGCCTGGTTTTCTTTTCCTTCTTTGTTAGAGCTGATCTGGCCTTGTGTAGCTGGGATCATTAAGATGCTCCCAAGAGCCAGGAGTCCAGAGACTAGAGGACTAGCCCTGACAAGAGTGTATTTGAGGTGGTCTCTTTGTGAGAATTCAGAGATCTCCAAATCCAAAAACTTTTTAAAAATATTTCTGAAAGAATATTATTTTGGGCCTCTTTTGGCAGGTAGATGGCAGAGCAGATAAAGTGCTGGGCCTTGAGTCGGGAAGACTCATCTTCCTGAGTTCAAATCTGGCCTCAGATACTTCCTAACTATATGACCCTGGGCAAGTCACTTAGCCCTGTTTGCCTCAGTTTCCTCAACTGAAAAATGGAAATAATAATAATACCCAGGGAAGCTAGGTGGTGCAATGGATGGAGCGGTAGGTTTGGAATCAGGAAGATTCAACTTCATGAATTCAAATCTGGCCTCATACACTTACTAGCTTTGTAAGCCTGGGCAAGCCACTTTTTACCCTGTTTGCCTCAGTTTCCTCTTCTGTAAAATGTAGAAGGAAATGGCAAACTAAGGGGTCACAAAGAGTCACAACTGAAATGACCAAATAATAAAAGTCCTTTTTCATCTAGACTTTTGAGTGCCTGACCCCTGGGTATAAAGTCATTTCCCTTCCCAGGGGCTTTCCATAAGTAGCTTGTGTATCTAGCAGACTGAAAGTCCCATGAGGGCTGGGCCCATTTAGCTTTTGTCTTTGTATCTTCAGAACTTCCTTGAGTGTTTTGTACATAACTGATGCATTAAAAATGCTAACTGAATTGAATTAATTGAAAATGAAATAGAAGACAATCATCACAAAACAACCACCAAGTCCCTGGCCTCTACTAGGCCTACAGAGCCCATTGCTTCCTTTTTCATCACTCTCAGACCTGTCTATTGATCCGGCTATGTAATAAAGACAATGTTTCTCCCTGTTCAGCTCAGGCAAACAGATCAATCAGACCTCCCAATATGAGGAAGGGCCCTCTGGCCCTTGGGAAGGATCAGCGCTAAGAATGGTCAGTCCTTGCCTTCCAATTTTGGGAGTGCTGGGCACCCCCTTGTTTGATTTTAGAACATGCTGACCCCTTCTAAAGTAGGATAGTAGATTGAGAGTGGGAACAGTCCTCACGTCACCCAGTCCAACTCCCCGCTTTTTACCAAGGAAGAAACTGAGGCCTGAAGGAGTGCAGCGCTTTGCCCAAAGTGGTCAGGGGCAGAGTCTGGATATGAACCCATACCAGGGGACATATCTATTTTATCAAATGAAAATGAAAATAACTTTTTGCATCAAAATTTAAGAGCATTTTGACTCATAGGAGCTAGAGTTGGAAAGGACCAGAGATCATCTTATCCAATCCCCTCATCTTAAAGAACGGGAAATTGAGGCCCAGTGAATTAAGTGACTTAGGATCACACACAAAGCAGCATCTAGAATATATTCATAGGGTCGCAGATCTAAGGACTCCCAGGACCTTAAAGGTCATCATGTCCAACCCCCACATTTTAGAGATGAGGAAACTGACAAGCAGAGGTTTTCCTATGGCCATGTGGCTGATAAGTGTCAGAAGGAGAATTTGAACTCAGGTCTTCCTGACTCCAAGCACAGTACCCCACCCAGTGCACCAGCGGTGTCAGACTCATGTCCTGGGTTCTTGTTACTGTCGGTGTTCAGTCACATCTGACTCTTTGTGATTCCATTTGGGGTTTTCTTGGCAAAGACACTGGAGTGGTTTGCCATTTTCTTCTCCTGCTCATTTTACAAATGAGGAAACTGAGGTAAACAGGGTTAATCGACTTGTCCAGGGTCACATAGATAGTAAGTGTCTGAGGCTGAATTTGAACTAGGTTCTTCCTGACTCTAGGTGCAGCCACTTGGCCACCCAGCTGCCCCCAAGCCTTGGCTGGGGGTTGGCCACCGCTCTCTACTGCTGCCTGAACTAGATGGAAATGTAATTGGGAAGTGTTTAACAAAATAAACAAATACGATAAAACATAAGCAATGTTAATTTGTGGCTTTCTAAGTCGATATGTGGCCCACAGGGATCTATTTCTGTTTGAGTTTGACGCTACTTCCCTGGTGCTATTTTCCCAAGGTCACCCAGTTAGTAACAGAGGCAAGGATTCGAACTCAAGACCCCCAGCTCCAGATCCAAGGTTCATTGCACAATACCCCACTAATTCTGACTGTGCAGGGACTGTCATGCTCTGAAGTCAGTGCTGGGATTTTTTGCAAGGAAGATTCCCCTTTGCATTTCACCCCATCTTTCTAAATCTCATTACTTATTCGTTTGAGTCACTTAAAGAAAGATCTCTTCTTTTCACTTGCCTCTGTGCTACTGTTAATAATGAACTTTTCTGGACACCCCACCAAGTACAACAGTGGGCCATCCTCTTCCCAAATCAATTTTTTTCTTCTGCATCCCTTTCTTTTAATGGACAATAGTTTGGCCCAGGTAGCTACGGTGCAAAGTACATAGAAGCTGGGCCTAGAGTCAGGAAGACCTGAGTTCAAATCTAGCCTTACACATTTACTAGGCAAGTCACTTAACCTCTGTTTGCCTCAGTTTCCTTTTCTGTAAAATGGCAATACCAATAGAACCTACCTCTCAGGGTTGTTGTGAAGAATCTTAAAGTGCTACATAAATGCCAGCTATTATTATCATCGTACTTTCCTAGCATTCCATCTGAGGCAGCTAGGTGACTCAGTGGATAGAGCGCTGGGCCTGGGAGTCAGGAAGACCTGAGTTCAAATGTGACCAAAGATACTTACTAGCTGTGTGACCCTAGGTAAGTCACTTAACCTCTATTTGCCTTAATCTGCTGGAGAAGGAAGTGGCAAACCCCCCCAGTATCTTTACCAAGAAAACCTCAGATGGTGACAGGAAGAGTAGCTTGCAACTGATTACTGAAAAGCGACGATATTCCATTTCTGCTACAACATCATAGAATAAAGGAAGCACAGAATGTTAGAGCAGAAGGGACCTCAGACACCATCAATCTAATCCAGTGGTCTCTCTTTGCCCATGCACCCCGTAATTTTCCCAAGGTCCTACAGCAAGTGAATGGTGGTGAAGGGGAAGTTTCTCCATTACTCACATGCAGCAGTTTCTTTGATCATAATTTAATAAGTGACAATGATAAAATTTATAGTGCTGAGCTTCTGGAGATATTTTTTCTTTTTCTGGCAGACCATGAAGAGAAAATATGGCACTGGGAAGTTGGGGAGAGGGGCGTGGTGGTTGTTTTTTGCTTTGTTTTTAAATTGGGTGTCCTTTCTTTTCTTCCTAAGAGCATGGCTTGGGAAAGAATTGGAGCAATACTGACACCTTGTGATCAAGTAGATAAAGCCAGTGAAGAAAGCGAGCATTGTAGGGGAACTTTGGGAAAACAAGGACAGTCTTTATGTCAAGTGTTAAACTTTAATTTTTACTTGTGAATATTTCATTAATCTGCAATTTTTTCACTGTGGGAGCTCCCTCCATGGATGCAGATTGTGATCCATTTGTAATTTATAGTCTTAGAGAATTGCCTGAGGTTCATTGCCTAGGATCCTGCTGCTAATTAGCCTCAGAGATGGGACTTGAACACAGGTTTCCCCTCTTATTAGGCTTTGCTGCCTCTGATTATTTACAAATCGCAGAATTCAAGAGGCAGAGGCTACCCAAGGGCCCGTCTAGTACAGCACATATCCAAAAAGGAATCCCACTACAACATACTTAACAAATGACCATCCAGCCCC